ACAGGCAAGTCCTGTCTGCTGAGTCATCATTGAGCTCCCTTCTTCACGACACCACAAATTTGCACTCACCTCTCTTGTGTTCTGGAATGTTCACGTGATTTCCCTCCAACCTGTTGCACGTGCAGTGTTTAGCTTGTGTGGTTGCTCGATGTTACATGCTCTTGCATAACACACCACATAACCACACAACTCTCAACAAACACTGCCACGTCACCACTTTGCGTTGTCGACAATTCTTGTCTTCTGCTCTGTTTCTTTCTGTTGGAGTGTTCATTCATCCTACATCCTTGTTTGCTTCACAACTCAAGTAAACACACACAACTCTCTCTTGCCAAGACAATATCCCACACAACACACAGCACACTCTGCACACACACACACACAAGTCTCCAACAACAGCACCACCACCATGAACTTACAACAACAACAGACAACACTTCACAACACTGCATGACACGCACACATGGCATTTGCCAAGCATGACGGGCATGCACACACACACATGGCACACATGGCACACAACTCACGTGTGCAGGGGAAGGAGGAGAGGAGAGGCAGTTGGCACACATGCATGCCAGCAGAGAGAAAGGAATGTTTGCCAACGGAAACACCACAAAGCAGGTGTTGTTGGCAAACAAGACAAAACCACATGAGAAGGCAAATTAGGAAGGACTCAACACAAAACAGAAACTCACTGACTCTCAATAGAAAGACTTGGCCCGCCCGTCGAGTTGTAGGTACAGATGGAGCTTCACTTGGCGGGCGTCCATCGTCGTGGAGGCGACCTCCAGGAGCAGCTTGGTATCGTCGGCCCAGTCGTGGACGTCCTTGGTCTTCGATCCCGAGAACTTGCGGAAAGCGAAGTCCATCTTGTCGTGTGTCGAGAGGTGCGGCTGAGCGAGAAGTTGATAGGGTTGGCTGTGGTGGATACGTGGTGTGTTGTGGTTTGCGAAAGTAGGGTCTCCATCACTCAATGGTCGGTGGACTTTGTGCAATCGCTACCATGTAAGATCATGGGCTGTGTACTCTGGTCGTTGTCGAGGACAAACAGTAAAACAAAGAATGAACAAGACGAACGTGACACTCGCACAAAAAGGCATGAGCGAGTGCACAGAAAGAACAAGCAGGGAAAAGCGCGAGTACAAAAGGACAAAAGCCGTACGGGCTTAGACAGAGGAAAACGAAAACAAAACAAAGGAGGGTTGCTAGGTAGCGTGACAACAAACAAGCCAAGAGCAAAGGATACTGCTAAGAGCAATGCAACACTGCGGAGCAATGTAATTTGGGATGAGGTGGGAGAAGTTGAGAAAGACTTGCGACAAGGCTCGGTCACGAAAGACGTGTGAAAAGAGTAGTAAAGAAGTCGGACAGGAAAAGCACTGTCGACACAGTCGACAAGTGCTTACATCGACCATGCCATTGACCTCAAGCCCGGAGCCACGCCACCCTCCAAGGCGCCTTACCGCCTGTCAACGAACGAACTGGAGGAACTACGGACCCAGCTTGACGACTTGCTCTCCAAGGGCCTCATCGGACCAAGTACCAGCCCCTACGGAGCGCCGATCCTGTTCGTGAAGAAAAAGGGCGGCTCCCGGCGCATGTGCGTCGACTGCCGACTGCTGAACGCGCAGACCGTTAGGGATGCGTATCCGCTACCCCGTATTGATGATATCATGGACAAGATGTACAACGCGTGGATTTTCAGCACCCTGGACCTTCGGTCGGGGTACCACCAAGTCCGCATCCGCGCAGGTGTTGACAGGCAAGTCCTGTCTGCTGAGTCATATCATTGAGCTCCCTTCTACACGACACCACAAATTTGCATTCACCTCTCTTGTGTTCTGGAATGTTCACGTGATTTCCCTCCAACCTGTTGCACGTGCAGTGTTTAGCTTGTGTGGTTGCTCGATGTTACATGCTCTTGCATAACACACCACATAACCACACAACTCTCAACAAACACTGCCACGCCACCACTTTGCGTTGTCGACAATTCTTGTCTTCTGCTCTGTTTCTTTCTGTTGGAGTGTTCATTCATCCTACATCCTTGTTTGCTTCACAACTCAAGTAAACACACACAACTCTCTCTTGCCAAGACAATATCCCACACAACACACAGCACACTCTGCACACACACACACACAC